AGTATAGTTAAGATTTTCAATCAAATTATTTATTGGTATAATACAAAAAATAGAAAATTGACTGAAAATCTTGACTTTATACCATCATAGAAAAAAACCCCAAAAAATAGTCAACAAAAAATCCATTACCACCCAAAATTTGTATTTTGCTTAAATTAATAATTTTCACAGTACAACCATAGTGCATTTTACAGATTAGGACAAGTTTTGAAGCTAAAAAATGGGTACAGACTCAAGTCCCAGTTTTCCACTAACATATAGGAAAGGACTGCTGGTTTTATCATTTCCAAAAAAAAAAAAAAAAAAAAGTTTCATAAAAATATAAAAAAATCGTTTGTGTATGAAAATTTTCTGCAAAATGTGATGAAAATTTTACATTTTCTTACAAAAATGAAGCAACTTCATTTCTAAAATTAATTTAATTTCAACTTGGTGAATAATAACTGTGTAATACGATGATTGAGCAATTGTCTGATTTGTTACGATCCATTATACAATATATAAAAATATATTGTATGAGAACACCCATTTTAATCGAACTACTCGTTCTACAATTCTTCGGTTAGGACATAACATAAACCAATATTCTCAAAAACTTGAATCTAATTAAATCTTTAAGATTACTTTTATTTATTTGTATGTATAGTTTTTTTTATTATATATATTTGTTTTCTGTTTTTTTGTTTTGTTTTTTGTATATATTGTTTGAATGAACTCTTGTAGCACTAATACTTGTTGCCCTTTATGGGGCAGATTGTATTAACATTCAAGAAACTATCAATATATACTTGGAAAAAAAAATCTTTATGTCAAATTTGTCTGTAAAAGTTGCTAATAACTTAATAAACAAAGTGATGTATTAAATAATTTTCCACACTGGAAAAATATTGCACACTCACTCAATTAAAGATCTATGTTAATCAAAAGTCCACAATCCATCATGAAAATCAGAGTGGTAAAGATTCTTGTAGCAAGACCGGAAAATATTGATATAAATGTTGCCTTTTAGGGGAAAACAAAATTAAGCTTGGCCTGCCAGTTAAAAATCCCTACCAGTTAACTATTAATTAATTATACAGAAAACCTTTAAGTAAGATTATAAATCATGTGCAAGCAACTAATTACTAATCAACAAGTTCCATCAAACATATTGGTAAGCTTTATTCTCTTCACATGAATGTTAAGTCTCAATTTCTATTCGAGTTGGCTACATTCAAATTATAACAACACTAGTCAAAGATCTTGTTCAGTTCATTGTAACAGTATACTAAAAATCAGAGTTCAAAGAACTGTCTAAAAAAAAAATAATAATTATATATTTTATCAAACAATGACAAATCTTAGTTTGTTTCATGAGAAAAGTTCGAACAATTAAGTAATTAAGTCACTTAATTTATTTAACTAGTGTCAATCACAGCCTTCACTGCCCATGAAACAACTTCCTTGGAATAGATAAGAATCACTTTTTGGAAAATTACGCACATTTTTTTCATGTCTCAAAATAAAATTCTTATAAAATGCTACTTATAATAATATAAAAATTCAGTTTAATTATAAATTAAAACAATAATTAAATGAATAATATAAAATTTGGAACTCAAAAGAGAGGTGTTTCTTCAAGGCCGGAACTGGAGGGAGATAAATAAGGCAATTATTTAAATATAGAAAAATCAAAGACAATGATCTAAATATTTATTAATGTTTTTACTCTTATTGTCATAATTATATTGGATAAATAAACAGTTTATGATTACAATAATTTATATAATAGTAGAAAGAAGTGTTCCAAAAGAGGATTTACATTAAATATAAATATAAATAACTTCAATTAGGTTAAAGTATAAATATAAATTCTAGTATCAGCTCATTAATAATTATTTATCATTTTTATAATTATGAAGTATCTCTCCCTGTTCATGTTAAAATTATAATAGTTTAAAGATGCATGTTATTTGCAACTTTACAAACTGAAAATTGACATTATTGAATGAAATTTAATTTTAAAATTTTACAAAATGTATTATTAAAAAAAAGTTAATAAAGAGTTTAAAAAAAACATAAACATGATATATTGAATATTTTGTTAATAAAGTAATCTTTAACAGTGATTGTAAGTTAATTCTTTTTTAATAAAGATTTCTTTTATTTAAATGTAGTTTTAAATCTAACTTCTATCTTATTTATATAGACATCGAGCACACACGTTACAGTAAACCTGCACAAGTTAGATCATACACATCTACAGTAAACCTGATGATTTTAATTCAGTGAGAGATGACCAACAAACATGAAGATAATTTCATCGCTTTACTTGATTAAAAACTGTATTAATTAACATAAAACTGTACAAATATACTGGAGTGACTAGCACACATATTCAAGTATACATGCCTGCACAGGTAGAAAATAGTAAATTTCGATTCTTCACAGGTCGCTAAGCCTGTGCAGTTTGGTCTATAGGGTCTGGCACACAAGCTCCGGTTTACCAGTGCAGGTAAATCTTAATGGTATACCGGAATGTGTATTCCCAGCTTTAGTAAAGACCAGAGACATATTTTTGATTTATGACACTAATTATCACTACAAGAACACCCTATATTTATATTTAATATAATAATTTTTTAAAAAAAGGATAAAGAGTTACTTTCTTCATAATAAAAAAAAAAGAAAAGAAAACACAAATATGTACCATTACAATCCATCAAAGTATTAGTTCAGTACTTTATAAAGACTTATTGTTTATTGGCAAATTGGAAATAAAGAGTTAACGTCATCAGTATCATAGTCCGGTTGCCATTTACTTTTTCAATAGAGACTGAGTGTCTCTAAAGTTGATTCATGGCTAATATAACTGAAAATAATTTTTTTTGTTGACAGCCGAACTTGAAATGGATCAGCGAGATTTAAACTGAACACATCACCATATAATATGTGATATCCATCTACTTTCAATTAATTATTAATTCAAATAAACTTTGATTTCAGGATTGGTCTGCTGCTGGCATGGCTTTCAGTTGGCTGCCTGGCTAATGAATACTACCCCAGGTCAAAAGGAGGCTCTGGAGTTCCAGATAAGGTAGAAGTGGTCAGCTCTGCATTGCGGGTACTTCCAAGGAAAAGGGAAAGGTTCCGCAGGTCTCCACAATGGAGGAAACCCAGAGATTATGAATTCGTGACGCGGAGCTTTGCCCGATCACCAAGAAGATTAACTTATCCAGAAGATAGGTCTGAGCAGACAGACTTCTATGAAAGAAGGAGGGACTTCCCATCAAGAAGAATAGTATACTATGCCACCCTTCCAGAAGTCATCAGGAGACCTGGAGAGTGGACTCCTCCTAGGCCGATATATTCTGGATACCCTCCTAACAGAGATAATGAAATAGTTACGAGGGTACACTCCGGGCTTATCGATGTCAGCAACAAGTACACTCAGGAACTGCCCAGGTTCACCATCATTGACGCGGAACCTCCTTATGCAAGGCCACCGCCTCCACCTTATGACCACTATGATTATAGGAAATATGGTTATAACAGGTAATTATCATTTAGCACACAAAATATGTGTGTATGTTTATACACACCGTATGCTTGAGTTCTGGATGTACTTCCATCCATAAACGATGGCACTTAGAAAATAGGGGACAAGATTATAATGCCGTACATAGAGTAGTAGATCACTCGTCAATTTATTATCAGTAATATAATATAATTATTACTTGGATGACTTATTGAACTTTTTTGTGAATTATTTTTAAGTAAATGACTATGAAATAATGGGAGACCAAACTCTGGTCCTCTTCACAAAATATTGGGAAGGGAGAGGAGCAGGAATTGCCTTGTCTTCCTAGTCAACATCTATGCTTTCATCAGTCTTACTGTTAATTTTCTGTCTTTTTAATTTTATCTTCGACATAATTTTGTTCTTTTGTGGGAAACGCTTCGTGCTATTTATTTGTTTTTGGAAAGTATTTTTTTCAAAATTAGGTTATCAATCACAGAGGTACTCCCCCATCCCTCCAAAGGATCAAGAACCTACCCCCTCCCCTCTTTTTCAATCCCAAGATATTTTATTGCTCTTATTTTCTTAAAAACAGAGCAAGCTTAGGTTGAATTAGAAAAATCGTAGATCATACACAATTACACTTGCTGTGGTCTGTTCCGTGTTTTATCCTTGTCCCTTAGTATGAAACTTTTCATTCAGAAATTCATAATCGTATAAAAATGTGCCTCCCTCAAAAATTAAAAAAACTCGTCAAAATATGCCCCCTCAAAAATTTTGATGGCGCAACTTGGGACTGCACCGCCATATATAATATAATATATCTGGGCACCCCTGATCAATCATACCCAGGAAATGGCGTGAATTGCTTTTTGGGGCATTGTAAAGATAGTAATAATTTAAGTTATTCACAATCAGAGAATGGCACTAATTTCTTAGATTATATACATTTCTCGAAATAAAGGTGATATTTCAATTCTTAATGGAAAGTATTAAATGAAGAAAATATGAGATAGGTTAAAGATGAAGGTATCCCTTCATCTTTAAATAGTTGGAGATTTTAATTTTTCTTAACTCACTGTACAATATTACAGCAACATATATTGATTGATGTAGATTAACTGTTTACTTTGTTTCAAATTTGTCAATTTAAACTTTTATATATATATATATATATATATATATATATATATATATATATAAGTGAAAAAAATATTTTGGCACAATATTGTATTAATTTTCTTAAAATTTTTCCTTAAAATATTTTATTTGATTTAATGAAATTTTATTATGGGATCTGGTAAAAATTATCTTGTTTTTATTGATATTTGAATATGTTTTAATAATTGGTTCCTAAGTGAGATTGGGATTTGTGTCCCAACCACATTTGTTTGTTACATTACCCTAGTTACAGAAACATTTCCTTTAATACATGATGTTTTAAAACTCTATTTCTTCATATGAAGTATGACTCATTGGTTTATTATTTGTTTTCAGATATGATAACAGAAACCAGGTTGATCCTTATAGGTATTACGAACAGCCATATCGCCAGGATACTCTTCCACCTCAGCCATTTACTGTTGTACGTCAACCCATCGAAGTCCGACCTCTTGACTTAAGGCCTCAACACCCCCTTTCCACACAAGCCCCACCTGTTTCATCGACTACAACACAGAATCCGCCTTCCTCTTCAGAGAGTTCTGATATTTCTAGCTTTGAAAGGACATTCAAGCAATGAGATGCAAAGTGTTTGTCTTGTATATCGATCTCCCAATATCTTTATAATGATTTCTCATAGCAGTCAACTATTTATATAATAATTTTAATGTCATTAAACAAGTTTATTTTTATCGATGTTTGGAACGTAGGTTTTAGTAACAATTGATAAAGATGTAGACAGTTTATTTATTTTAATTAGTTTTAATGTTTACACAAAATTTAAAACTAAAATATTTTATAGTTATGTTTTCAGATAAAATATTTTAACCTAAAATATTGTCTCATAAACAACGAATGATAAAGTAAGCTTTTATGTATTTCAGTCGATATTGTAGTGTATTACAATTGTAATTAATTTTATTGAAATTATTTTGTCTGGTTAGTTTCTATAATATATTTAATTGTCATTTACATAAATACTAAATTTTAAATAAATGAATAATTTTAATAATTATTGCTTTATTATTTTTTTTATCAAGCCTGACAGATTTAGGTTCAACAGGAATTCAGATCTGTCTACTTTATTCTTATTTTTTTTTTCAGATAAGCTCATGAATTGTCTCCAGTACCTGGTATAGAAGGAAACATAAAATATATTAATTATAATATACAAGAGAGTGTTATATAAATTATAAATTAATATTATTTATGTCTAAAATATATACTTATGATAAATTAGAGAAATGCAATTAGCCTCTACCTAACAGTGAATAATAATAACCCAACATGTAATGAATATTAAAAGAATAAAGAAAGTGAAAAATAATTTAAGTAAATTTTAAAATAAAATAAATAATAAAGCTAAATATCATTAAAATTAAAAATAAATAATACAATAACTATACCCTACAAGAATATCATTTCTTCTTTAAAAGACATGTATAAATCAGAAATTTAGTTAAATAAAAATTATAAATTAACAATGATAAAATATATATATATATATATATATATATATAATATATATATATATATATATATATATATGATGTTATAGATAATAAATCTTTCATAAAATCAGTGTCTACCTAAGATTTGTGAAAAAGTAACATCACCCTTCATTCAATCTGTATAAAATATGGGCAAGCATAGGTTCTCCATAAATGCTATGAGGTATTTTTTAAATTAAAAAAATAATAATTCACAAATGCAACTTTAAAACAATAAGTAAAAACTAACTCACCTTTTGCAAAATCTTTTGGTAAAATAGGCCAGAAGAGAGAAAGAATAAAACCAGCCAGGTCTTCAGCAAATTTTTCCTTATATACCAGCCGTTTGCAACACTCCATCCATTCATGGAGCTAGATAAGAAGCAGTATAAAAAAAATTATATTTAACTTGACCATCATTGATATATAAAGCTAAGGAGTTGGGAAATGATAATTTCAGGAACAACCAATTCAATTTAAAACATCAATTTTTCTTAAAATACATTGCTAATTGAGAAGGGCTTCAGGCATTCAGTGGAGCAGTAACCACAAATATCAATTAATCTCGAAACTTAATAAAAATCAAATTACAAAACAATTAAACAGCTTCTTTTATAATTTGTAGTCATTATAAATAAAGTGCAGGAGAAAACTGTTAAGTATTTAATTTTTCAAGAAGTCAAGTAAAGAGAAGATTGTTTTTCTCATGAAAAACTACATATTGCCTTATCTGAATCAGGTTGCTAATAAAACCATTATATACTTTCCCATCTTACCAGCACATATTAATAAAAATATAACTAGGATAATATATATTACATTTTGTGTGTGTGTTTTTTTTTAATTGTGGGTTAATGGTTGACTGTAGTGGATAATGAAGAGAAGGCAAATGTTAAAATAAATATTATTGTTTATTTTGCCTTCTTAATTCTGACTGATTACCCCGACCATCCTTCATTTTAAAAAAAAAATCAAACTAAGAAATTCAAATCGGATCACCCTTTAGGTACAAGACATTGAACATCTAATATAAACAGCTACAAATGACTGATCAAAGATAGTACTGAACACTTCATTCTAAGATCACATCTTAAGGTACTGATATTCATAAATTTATACATTGAACACTTATAAACATTTGTTATCTTCTGTTCATGGTGTATGAAATTTTATATTACCAAAATGCAAGCTGTTTTGCTATTGTGCTTGAATGTTCAAATTGAACTTTGAATATTCTGAATTCAATAATAATTAATACATTTAAATAACCTACTAACTTTAAATTTAGGTATAACCATTCATTAAATTTCTAAGTTGTTAAACAATTTTTCTTTAAGATCAACACATCTGAGTTAACTTGGTATTATTGTTCAAAAACTTGATCTTTTCAACTTATGTAAGGAGGTAGTAATTATGTTTCATACAATACATGAATTGTAAAATATATTTGACAAAATTTGTTTTAAAATTTTATATAATTTTAATTCATATCTTTCAGTACATTTGATTTTTTTATTGATATTATCCCCACAAAGTTTTTTAAGGCAAACTAATAGAATATGAAATGATTCAACTGCTGGAAGAAACATGGGTATAAATGATAGCAAAAATATAAGTAGTGACCACCTATTTTGCATTAATATTTAAAATAAATTTATTTAAATATTAATATATGATTTAATTATATATTTATATAAAATTAATATATAAAATAAGTAGTGGAATAGATAAGAATTCTGTAATTATCAAGTACTTAGTTATTAAACTATATAATTCACACTAAACTTACACTCGGAACAGATCCAGCCGCTAAAACTCTAGACATTTGTGTTGCAGAAACTCCTAAAATATAAGAGGCAGCTTGAACTCCACCTTCTTCGTGGCATTTCCTTTTGATCTGCTCTAATTCAGCTTCATAAAGCCGATAGTAAATTCCTTTCATTAGTTTCTGCAAATTAAAAGAAAAAAAGTTTATCTTAATAATGCCTAAAATAAATGCTTAATGCTTAATTAATATTAAAAAATATTGTTAAAAGAATATAATTGTGAGTTAATTAGTTAAGGGATCTAAAATCAGCAACAAAGCCGATATTTTAATAGTTATAACTAGAGCTACATCAACGTACTAATTCGATTCACAACATTTCACTTTTTGTAATGTACTGTTTAGTTATAGTTTATAGGCTCGATTGTTGTCAAGGGTATTATAGTGAGTGCATTATAACTTTGCCTCTATAGGAGGGAGGGCTAAGTTTTAAGTTATAATAAGTTTTAAGTGTAAACCTGTGAACTTCATCAACATACTGTAATATACACCTTTATTGGAAGTGGGTAAAAATGATTTAATAAATTAATGTTGAACAATTAAAAGGCAAGCTAATCTAGTTCTACTAGTTCAGGGAAAAGAAAATGGCTGTTCTGTAGTTTCCCAAGAAGGAAAATCCCAAAGAGGAGAGGGACAAAGGTTTTTGTTTTGGCAGGGAGTTGGTGTTTGGCTGGAGTGAAGAGAGAATGGGAGAAGTGATCCTGGCTTCAATGGGTAAAACCCAGTATTAGTATTACCACCTTGGGATCACAAGAGAGAGGATTTCCCAGTGAGTTTGAGGAGTAGAAGAAATTATCACCAATTTGGAAGTTGTGTTTAGTAGAACTTTGGAATGTGTTTGAAAACAAATGAATTCAGTGCTACAAAGGAAATAGAAAAAAGGTTAGCTTACCAATCCACATTTGACTTTATTTTAAAATCAATGTTTAATTTTAGTATAAATACTGTAAATAATAATAGTTTGTCTGAGTTGATCTGATTGTCAGTAACCCACAACTGAGATAAATAAATATATTAATTCTCTTATAATTTTGTTTATTATTATAACAACCTCTGATTTCTTTTGGAAGTATCCTAACGGTAAGAAGTGAGCTTCCGAGGTTATATTATTATTGTTATTTTAAAATATAAGATGGATGTTACAATACTGAGTCATCCTCAGCTCTTTATTGGAGGCTTTTTTTTATTTTATTTTTTAAAGCGACATGAGCGCACTGTGGCTATGTAGGCCTATTGTACGCCTCTATTAAAGTCATTCCTGTTTAGAGCATAATTCCTGCAGTCTCAATGAACTGTAATAAGCTTGTTGGATTGATGAACTCTTGGGATCAATCATCCTATCTATGCTGAATAATCGGAATCTTAGTCCAGCAAACTTGTCAGACCAACAAGTAATATGATAAGCTGTTTCATCCTTCTGGCCACAGTATCTACAAAGAGATGACTCTGTGAGCCGGAGATTGAACATATGATAATTCAGTTTACAGTGTCCAGTGTATACCGCTATGACCTTCTTAAGTGAGCTCCTGCTCAGATTAATTAGTAGGTTACTTCTTTAGCAGATTCCTTTCAGAAACAATCTAGAGCGAGTCTGTTTTTCAAGCACCAGTTCTTTTTAGCTTCAGCACCATAAATCTCCCCAATTCTGTTTTTTATTAGACACTGACTAATTCCACAGATGGATTCAGGAGCTATAGGAATCTTTTGTGAGCCTAGTCTGGCTAGTTCATCCTCCATCTCATTACCATGTATTCCAGAGTGACCTGGAACCCATTCAATGTTTACCTTATTAAGTCTGGATAAGTCATTGAGGATTCTCGCACAATCCTCAACAGCCTTAGATCTAGTTGTATAGTTGTTCAGTGCTTGTATAGCCGCTTGACTGTCAGTATATATTGAAATTCTCCTCTCAACTAACCAGACAACAAACATTTTTGAGGCGTAGTGAGTTATCCCCAGCATTTCAGATTGGAACACTGTTGCATTAATTTGAAGCTTAGAGTTGCCAATTGCTGTACAGCCCACTTAAAGTTTTGCATGAGTTCTTCTACAGTCCTTCACTGTGGACTAACTGATCTACTGCCAAATGGCAGTATTATTTAATAATATGAGCACTCATATACTGAGCATGAGTTCATGTATATAAAGTCACCGTAAGATGACAGGATTGCCTTCCATTAGTCTATTTATACTGACTGTCCCTTGTGTGCTACCATGTAAACAAGTTACTTATTCAACCTTTTTAGTTTTATATAGCTTACACCTTAATATTATTAATATATTTTTTAATTATTAGTTGTAGATTAATTAATTTTGGGACAGTAACATGGAGATATAAATATCATTTCTTTTATTTAATATTTCATCATCGTTTTTATTTATTGTCATCTTTAATTTATTTTTATTTTTATTTAATAGTATTTCTTATTTTATTTTATTATCAATAAAATGTAAAATTGATTACATTTGTTTCTTTATTATTATTTGTTCTTATGGAAAAAATAAATGTTTAGTCCAGGTTTTTTTTATTCAAGATCATACAGTCCACTGTTTTTATTATATAATTACTTTCTTTTCCAATCTGTTAAGATTCATTCAAAGTTTTGAAAACTGAAAATTACTCTTACGAAAAATTCTTATTAGCAGTTCTTAAAAACAAATCTAAAAACATTTTCTCATACAGTCTGAAATTACAAGAAACAGCTTGACGTTTCCGATTATTTCAGCACTTACTAGACAAACGCTCTAAACTTTCAATTAATTATAAAAGACTCATATACATGACTATAATAATGCCTATTGAACTATGGGGCTCCACTAAACCATCAAATTCCTCTTGTATCCAATCCTTACAATCCAAAATCCTTCGTAAAATCCTCAATGCTCTCTACTTTGTTACAAATAAAACCATCCATGATGACCTTAATGTTTTTTATGTTTCAGATCTGGCCCAATCCAGATACCTATCCTTCCATAATAAACCTCAGAATTATCCCAAATCTCTCGTTTCTAACCTTGCTTCCTCTTCAATTCCTGATAACCTTCTGAGGCGTCTGAAACAAGATGACCCCGTGATCTCCTAATGGAGACATTTCATTAGAGTGCTACCATTGGGTAGTTACTCAACAAGTGTTTTCCATTATATCCATATGTTCAAATTTACTAAATGTATTTCTTTAATACAGTTGTAAATACTAAGAAATAAAAAAAATAATTATTTTATAATGAGTTTAATATTTACCTCAACAGTATAGTAGAACTCTTTTATTTTACCATCAGCTTTAATTAGCTTTTGGGAGGCAACAGTAGCTTGGCTGTAAAGCTGCTTTTTTGCTTTCACAACTCGTATTTTGGAATCATTGCAAATCCTCTTGCCATCTTCCTCTAATTGATATATTTTTGCTTTCAATTCAGAATTCTATTATAAAAATATAACTGAATTTTCTTTTAAGTCGATATATCATGTTATATAAGGAATGATTGAAAAAGAATGTTTACTTCAGTCTGGAGTGATGCAATGTTATTATCAAACGATGTTTTTATTTCTTGAATGATTTGCCTCTGCTCTTGGACAGCGTTACCAACTACATTTTTAAGGTTTATTTCATAAGTCTGTTTGATACTGTCGTTGAGTGCCCTTTCTTTTCTAATAGATTCTTTAAGTTCATCGATCTGAAAGACATGAACATTCGAAATGGAATAGGTTATTTATAACTTGTACAATATATTGTTTTTTTAGTAATTATTTAATATATACTTAGGTAGAGTATCATTAAATAAATTATTGTCTAGACCAGGGGTCTTCAAATTAAGGCTCATGGGCTGGATCTGGTCTACATGCACCTCCAATCCGGCAAGTGAAGTTTCTTTGATTACATGGCAACATTTTAAAAAATATTAAAAAAATATGAAATTGCTCACACAAGAGGTTACAATATTTGTTGCATTTTTTTTTCTCTAAAAAAGCTCATTTCACAACTGAAGTGTCATTTATAGAACAAGATTTTTCTTTTCATCAAAAGCCTAAGCCTGCGGGACAGCTTGAGGTTTCAATGTGGTCCACAAGTTTGGCGACTCCTAGTCTGAACAGGTTTCCCATAAATTTTATGTTTGTAAAATGATACTAGATTACATATGCTTAATTAATAGATTTAAAGTACGGAGAAAAATATTTTGAGCCTGAAAAGATTTCTTTTAAGACAGACAAGGTATATTATTGGTTATACTCCTGACTAACTATTCCTTAAATTTTAACTATGGTCAATCATTTACGTACCAAAAATATATTTGAGCAGAGAGAAACATTATTCCTGTTTTTATTTAACACCAAGAAAATGATTATCAGAACAATATATGAGCTGAGAATGTAGCTAAAATAATATATCTTCTTATTTTTCTTTTTTTACATTAAAATAATATTACTAAACATTAACATAACAGCCCTAGCAAACCATAGTATGAAATCACTACGCCTTTTTGGCTTCAAAAACCCAGAAATACTAGCAATAGAACCAAAAACAAATAATAGGAAACTGTTGGAAGCCATACATATAACAAAAAACAATAATAGAACAGTAAACTATAAAACAGATACAAAACATTTAGGTACACACTATTCGGACATAATGTTTAATATTGAAATTCGAAAAACAACAATAGCCAAAAAAAGAAAAACACAACAAACAACCATAATAAGAAATAAGAGGACAGGTACAAAGTACAGAAATAAAACTGAAGATAGCCAGATGTTGGTTAGTGTATCAATGAATAAGAAAAGATGTGTAACACCAAAAAATATATTAAAAAAATGTGAAAAATATTTTATTTTTGACAAATGGTGCCACATCGAAAAAAGAAAGGTAAATAATTGTACAATAGATGAAGTAGAATGATAATTATTACTCAATTAATTATTATTACTAATTATTACTCAATAGTTGTTTTTCTTTTGAATTTTTCTTTCACTTTCTATTAACTTTCGTTCAATTTTCCATAATTTTTCTAAATAATATATCTCTCGTACCTATTTAGGCTTCCAGCGCTTTTAGTTCAAACTTCGTCTGATGACCGTTAGAGATGACACCACCTACACATCTCTTCTCCCTCCCTTGTAACGACTTTTATTCTCCCCTTGACACTTAAGGAGAAAGGTAGTACTTCTTTTATTTATTTCTTATTTCAGCTTTCTCAATTTCTTCCCTCCTTCCTTTCATTCCTTTTCTCTGATTTTAACTCTTTATTATATTATACATTGTCTGTACATCTTGATAGACTTTACAATATCTCAATTTTCTATCTAACTACTCCATTCTCAATGTTTTAATTTTACTATTTATTTTCTTTTCATTTCTTATATAACTTTATATTTCTTTTTTATGTTTTCACATTTTATTCTAAGATTCCCAATGTAACACTTTTGTCACCCCTTTTTGATTATGCCTACTTCATCATTCCACACTATGTAACAGTTTTTATTATTTATCTCTTAGTTCTTAGTCATTATTCTAACAATTTCATTTTACTTTATATCTATCTATTTTATTTTTCTAATAATTTTTTTTATTTTTATTTTCTCATTTTTTATTATCCTTTTTTACCATCATTACTTATGTTTCTCATACCTTGTTATCTGGTTATTTTCTTAGCCCTGATGAAGGCTTGAACTTCAGGTCGAAACGTCGGCATATGTGAAAAAAATAAATATTATAATTTATTTTTTGCCTTCCTTTTTGACTGAGCACCCCAACTATTCTTCTCTTCATGAGGTAGAATGATATTGTTAAAAAAAAGTTAATATAAAATGTGCATAATTTCAGTGAAGATTAAGATTTCTCTGATGACGGGAAAATTTTCCCGAAACGTTAGAGATAACAAATGTAATTAAAAAAAATTTGAAGAAAATTGGAAGTATTATTGCCTTAAATATGAAAAAATAAACTAATATAATATAAAACCCCATACAGGGCTGATGACAGTCATAACAGGAAATACTTAAAATTTTAGGAATATGAGGATAACCAATTCTCAAATTAAATCAAAATGCATGCTGTCATTAAAGAAAGATAGAGCTAGCAGATGAATTTTAAAAACCTGAAGACATTTTATTTAATCTAACATTGTTTGATAAAAATTTTTATTTTAAAATTGAAGCGTCTTTGTACATTGTAAAAGAAAAATATAATAAAAGATTTACTTTCAATATATGTATATCAAATATACATAAATGCATCAGTAATTTAGAGAAAATCATAACAAAGTAAAAATAATTTAGATAATACCTGTTTCTTATTGGAAGCTAGTCTTATAAAACAATCGGAGATTTCTTTGTTCAATTGAGTATTTTTACTTTGATATTCATCTTTCACTAAGTTTGCCTGTTTCAGTTCTTCCATCAATTTATATATTTCCTTATCCTTATGAACAATACGGCCGTTGTTTTCAGTTAATCTTGAAAAAAATGAGACAAATATATAAATAAAGGATGTATTTTAAACCACATTTATTTTCATTTCTCCTCCACAGTGGCTATGTTTTGGGTATGATGCCATTTTCAAACCATCTAATTAATAAGACTCACTCTATTCAGTACACAATTGGATTATAATCTCTATGACAGATTATTCCATAGAGATTATAATCAAATTGTGGACTGAAAAGAGTGAGCCGAAAGTATCCATTGTGGAGGAGAAATGAATATAAATGTGATGAAAAATACAGTCTTTATTTATACAGTAAAATGTAATTTCACCTAAAATATAAACAAAAAAATATAGAAATAACTTGAAGAAAACATTAGAGAGAAATAAAATTATACGGTTTTCGTAAAGCCCTGATATTACTTGAAGCATACTCGTGCTGCTAATTGTTCTGACCAGTGTTGCCACCTTTGTTGTTATATTTATTTACACTTTAAAAATTATTTACATCAAGCAAATATGTATCATATCCATACAATTAATAAATAATAAATAATAAAGTAGTTTTCCTCAATGAATCTGCAGTGATTCCTGGATAGAAATATAGGAATATAAAAGATGAATTTAAAATTTTTTATTGTTTATCAAAATAAAATGAGAATGCGGTTGTAAAATAAAGCTGACTTTCTATATTGTATTGTCTACCACGCATGGAACTACATCTACAAACTTTAAACTAAGTAGATATAATCTATGATACAATTTACTAGAAATATAAACTAAAATGCAACATTATAAATAAATGACAAAAATATAATTTTTTATAAAGCTACAAGACGATAAACAGTAAATATAAATAATTAAAATTAATAAAAATAATAACTTGGCATTTGCATGCATATATATATATATATATATATATATATATATATATATATATATATATATAATATATATATATATATATATATATATATATATATATATATATATATATATATATATATATATATTTATATAATGGCATCTACTCTTGTTCTCTAATATAGTAACAATTAGTAGAAAGTTCATATATGATAAAAAAATATCTCAGGCAATAAATATGAGGACCAGCTCACAACTAGACGTAAGCCTCACAAGGGCATTTGCTCAGTGACATCACTCGTGAGAAATAACCACACCTCGTGGGGTGAAATCTTGTATCAAGCCTCTATTTCAACATATCTCGATGTTTTAATAGGAGACATTCAGAGTTGGTTCCTCCATTAATGAGCCTTCCTACTGTTCCTCATCTCAGTGTAGCCATTGGCGATGGTTGACAGCTTCAAATCTTCAAGGTGGAGGATCTACCCACTCGTGCTATCAAAAGAAAAGAGGAAGAGAGGAAAGAGTAAATAAAAAGATTAGGCCATAGCAGCACGTTGAGTGACTGAGTAGTGCCTGACTTAGGATGGGGCAAGCAGGGCAATCGCCTCGGGGCGCCGACCTGGAGGAGCGCCTGTTGGGGGCACTGGCCGATTTACAGGGTTGTTCGCCACTTGTTGTTGTAAAACAATTAATTTTAGCCTATCGATGAAGCAACTGTATTAGAGAAATATTGAATCAAACATTACATACTATAAAACAGCTTAAAAAATAAATTTAATTTTTTTAGGGAGGGGATAGATGATTTCATTGCCTGGGGGCACCAAATATCTAATGCCGGCACTGTGCTTGAGTAGGAAACTGTCGAGCCACCTAAAGTAAACAAATCAAAGAGTGACCATATTATTACTTGGTAAAACAGTGATGTCTCGAACAAACCTGGATTCTATTCTGGCAATCCGCTCTTCAAGATCCTTTATCTCATTTGTCTGTCCATTCACCAATTCATCATTCTTGGCCATTTTTTCTATCCTGTTAATTAATGTTTCAAGAACAAACTTTTCTTTTTCTTGGTCATGCTTAATGTCTTCTACCTTGCAAAATAAAAAAATAATAGAAAGCTAAATTCATCTATTTAAAACATAAGATATCACTACTAAGCTTCTTGAGTTCCATGAAACTAATAGCTTTATACTACTGTTTATAAAATATGGGGTACTGGTACCAGTATAATTATTCTCTGGCAACTAACTGAAGTTAATGAGGATGTACCATTTTCTCTGATGAAGCTTTATTATTTTTAAACCATTGAATACAAAATTAAAAAAAAAAATTGTATTTGTCCCACTATCAAAGCATAAACTAAAACAGTAATATATATATAGTGATATTTTTATAGTTTAAAATATATCAAAAGATGAGAAAAACAGCTTATTTATAAAAGTTTAATTATAACAGTATCTCAGAAAAGCTGAAAATGTTTAAAATTTATATAAACTAACAAATGAGAGAGAAAATAAGATTTTTAAAATCAGTTACCACTGAAGCAATAGATTTTCCTTGTTCTTGAAATTGCTTTAAGACACCTCTCGTTTTAGACAGGTACTTTCCTTGGCTTCTCAATTTCAAGGAAAGATTTTTCAATTTGTCTTGAAAAATCTGAAAAATAAATTTTAAAAAAATTTACCATCATTCCAAAATAAATTAATTGTTTAAACTGATATAAAAAAAAAAATAATGCTAATATTTTGCAAATGATGAAAGCACTTGACCAGCATAAATTTAACCATATTTTTTTTTTCATTTAATAATAATTCTGAGAGAAAATCTCCAAAGAACATCTCGTACAAATAATACAAAAAAGGAGATATTGGAAATGCTCAAAGAGGTAAATTATAAATGCTACAAAAAGGTATATAAGTCTGATACATAATTTTTATACCTAGTTGATATTGATTTCAAAAGAAAAAACAGTCATTAATTGTAAATCTCATGGTGAGATTTGAGACAAAAAAAAAAAATAATAAAATAATCTAGCTAAAAATGAAAATAAAACATTTATTTAAAGGGAAAACATAGAACATCTCTCTCTTTAAACATTTTTTTTCTTAATTTTGTTGGAAGTATAATTTTTATTTTCTTTGAAGGTTTATCAACACTAGATTTTTCAATATATCAATCAATATCTTTTTGCTTCTTAACATTTCTAGGTAATGTCCCATTCATCAACGATTCCTACTAAAACATTTAAAAGTTACTTATAATGAACACCACATAAAACATTTTTTTATAAGCAATAATATTCAATTAAGTTCCCAAAATATTACAGTGATAACAAACATTATGTAATATTCATAATTATATAATTGTAAAACAATTATTGAAATTTAAAAAATCAACAGAATACTTCATTTTGTTCTTTGCTCAAACCTGTATAAAAATAAATAAGAAATAAAATAAGAACATAAAATAGGAAAATAAATTAGCAAAGGACAAAAAAAAAGTTGCTTTCTTAATTTTTGAAAACAATATAATTACAAAGGAGGAATAATATTATTATTGTGATATTTAGGAATTGTTGATAATATAGATGTAACCCTGAAACATTAGCGGATCCAGGATTTAATTTTGGGGGGGGGGCTTAAGCCCGAAACCTTTTTTTTTCATAAAAATAACGATAATTACTTTGGAAAAACAAAAAGAAACTAGCTACCTATATGGAATGGTGTTTAATTTACTCCTTAAGTACTTTAATTATGTAATTACATGAACAATAATACTTTAAGAGGTATTTTTAAAATTTTTTTTCCCATAAAACATGGTTATATTTTTCCATTTTGGGGGAGGCTTCAGCCCGAAAGCCCCCACCCGTTGATCCGCCCGTGCCCTGAAATGTTAACAGCTAGAGAAATAATTTGATATTTTAGAAGATCTAGTTCTGCTAAACTTTCAAAAAAGAAATAAACAATGGACGACTTCACATCAGCAAAAATGGAAGACATTAAAATTTTCTTTTTCTTTCAATGTTTCCTACAGTTGGGTAAAAATGGGAGACAAATAGAATATGTTGAAGAAATATTAAGAATGTAAACTAATTATACTATATTTATAGAAATATTGGGCTGAATTTGGTGTTACAATGCTCAGGAAAAAACTAATTTTAAAACATGAGAATGAAATTAAAAATGATGAATGTGGCATAACTTTCATAAGAAAGAGTTATAAATATTGTAGAAGAATATTTAAGCTGAGATGGTGATGTATATTGGTAATGAATCGTATTTATTTTCACAAAACCTTCTTTAATTTTGGTTTCTCAGATTTTGTGTCCTTCCATATTTGGAATGCATATATTCTGCTCTTGACTTAGAAACTACAAGAAAAGAATAAAATATAATATACTGCTGCATACTTTATTCTGAAGTTTTTTAGTGATGGTTTTACTCTTTTCTCTACTCAATTTAAAGTTCCGTTCAGATTTTTCATAATAAAGACTGTTCAAGGAATGGACAGAACCAGGTACAGATGTTGGGTTCGAATCAATGGCTTTACTTTCATTAGAAACCTGAAAAATATTATTAACTAATTCATCATAATCAGTAATTTGTTTATATGTTACACATATTTCTGGCATACAATAATTTGCCATATACTTCTGTATTCTGCATATATGATATTAAGGAGAACAAAACAGCAAAAAATAAAATAACAAAACAAACAAAGAAAAAAAAAAAAAGAAAAGGAGTGAAATCAGTAATTTAGTAAAAAAAAATATAGCCCAGGAACAAAAAAGTTTTATTCTTAAAACATGAAAATTCAATATTGATATACTTCCTGGCATAAATGGAGCCAATTTTTATACCCTATTTTCTCTAATTTTTTCTATTTTTCTAAAAATATTCTTTATTTTCAGAAATAGCTTAGTGAGCTGTAAATGTCTATTTTAACAATTAAGTAGAATTTTTAACTTTTGGTAATGTTGGAGTATGGTCTCATTCAAAAGAAACTCCTAAAGATAAATATTGTTTATAATAATTTAAAGCTTCTAAAGTAAAAGAAATTTAAAGGAGGTACTGGATTGGAGAGTTTGGAAGGATGGAGAAGTCTACGAACTGTTTGAGCCTAATATGGCCAGAATAATAAAATTAGGAAGGTTGAGTTGGGCAGGACACATAGCTCGGATGGAGATGTCTGAAATCCCGATAAGAGTGCTCGAGGAACCATTACACTATACAAGGAGAGCTGGCAGACCAAAATTGAGATGGGTAGATGGACGCTACAAGTGACTTGATGGGAGTCAGTAATTGGAAAGCGGCCGCACAGAATAGAGAAATTTGGCGGCAGCTCATTGAGGAGACCAGGACACACTGAGGGTTGTAGAGCCATTAAGATATATATAGATGTAAAATAAATGAATAATAATAGTACAATAATTTAAGCTTAAAAATAAAATAAATAAATAAGAAATTAAAAAATATGAATAGTACAAAAACAAAACAACAACATATATAGTAGAATCAACATTAAAATGTCTAGCATAAATCTGAGCTTCAGTCTACGGAATAATATTGGAGTTCCTATAGATTCTATAGATTCTACCTGACGTTCTCAGGATTTTTCTTACAGAACTTTGCTGATTTTTATATTGTAATATTCTCTGTCATTTCATTATTTGTTTAATCCTGTTGCTAAAATTTTATCAATATAATTATTATTGTTTAATTATCAAACAAACAACTAATTAAATTCACAACATTGACAATATGAAGTATATATATTTAAAATACTCCATGATGTGAAAAATGATACAAGTAAATGACCTCTTATAGTTCAAAAGCTGAGTTGAAATTTTGTGATCCGTTCGAAAAAAAAAAAAAAATTTGTCATTATTATAACTTCTTTACAATCATTATAACTTCTTTTCACAGAATTAAATTTCCACTTGTCAACCAAATCAAAATGGAACTGTTATAACCATAAAAGGATTGTTGGAACAGCAATTTTTGAAAAAATTAAAACCTAAATGGTAATTTCTCATGTTTTTAAAAAAACATGTTAAATTTTGAAAGACCGTTCGATTGAAGATGGCAAAGGGCTCTATCATGGCTCACATTGAATATGATAAAACTGAATTCACCTGAATTCAGTGATCGACATTATAAGAAGGTATGACTAAATGTGTTTTTCAAATATAATATTTCGAATTGGCTCTTTTACTATTACGATGTTGCTGTCTGAAGGAAACAAGTAGAATGAAAAATGTTTGCAAATATTTTATTTCTATTTAAAATATACCTTAAATGCATTATAAATAAATCTTAAACAAAATAAATACCTGTTCCCAGGCTGACATTAAATTTTGAACATCTTTAAGGTCCAATGGGTTCGTATTGATATCACAGTCTCTACAATGTACATAATTAATTTATAATTTCTATGTAAATAGTATTTTTAATATCAATTTAAAAAACATATATATTTAAGTGAATGAAAATAATCTTATTCTGGGTTTAAACTTTTGATGTTCTATATTTCTTAATATTTTTAATCCACGATCTGTAAGAAAATTCAAATTTTTAATCTATTCTCATTAATAATATTTAATTTGCACTTGAATTATTATTATTAATCTTCATTTGGTTTATTCATTAAATTAAAATATTAGGTACTTATGCACAAATAAATTTTTTATTTATTATCTTATTGAAATTTACAACTGTAAACATATGTACAACCAGTAAATCTGCTATAGGAATATATAACATGAAGGAACTAGTTAAGAAGCCCCCCATCGGTAAAACTTCAAAGATAAATTAATTTAGGAGGTCCATTGGCCATCTTCGTTTCAGATGTCTCATAGGGTTGTCAGGAATTGTATTGGATGAAAGGTTACAAACTAGAGGAGTGGGGTGACCAAAGAGTTTGGAATTAAAAGAGATATATCAATTTGGAACACAAGAGGAATTTTGAGGTCTTCATGGATAATTTTATTTGTTACATAATGAGGAGCATTTAAAATTTTATGGAGGATTTTAAATTGTAAGGATTTGATGTTTTTGTAGAGCCTGAAAGCTCAACACCATATGTCCAAATGGGCCTGATGATGGTAGTGTATATTAATTTTTTGTAGAATATTGGAAGTTTAGAGTGTTTGTCAAGTAAGTATTGTAGTAGTAGGAATCTGTTGGCAGTTTCTTGTCTTTTAAGTCTATTATTATGAGGATTCCAGGTAAGGAGTTTGTCAAGAAGGAGTCCTAGGTAACGGATCTCTTAGACAGGGATCAGTGGAATATTGTTAAAGGATATGGAAGGACAGGATGTAGTAGGTTTACGGCGAAGGATAAAAGTACCTTGTTGGGATTTGTTTGGATTAATTTTAATTCTCCAATTTGCATGCCATTCTTCAATGGCTGAAATGTTTGACTGCAGGGTTTGTGATGCAATAGTTGGTTCAATATTGACAGATAACATACATGTGTCATCGGTATAGGTAGTGAGGATGGTTGAAGGATAGGTTGGGATATCAGCTGTATATACTGTGTAAAGGATGGGACCTAAGATGCTCCTTGAGGAGCACCAGAGAACAGAGAAAAGAGAGATGAATAAGCAGAGTTACAATTTACTTTAAAGGTTCTATCTGTGAGGTATGAGCGGATTAATAGGAAATATCTAAGAGGCACGAATTGACGGAATTGGTACAGTAAACCTGTATGCCAGACTCGATCAAAAGCCTATTCCACATCTAGAAAAGCTGCCATGCAGTACTAATTTAAATCTTAATTCCGTAACTATTTCTGAGCTGAGTTCTTTCAGGTGATGTATCAATAATGATATAAAAAAAATAATAAATAAAATAACCTGTACCACTACAACCCAGGAAGGGTCTTGGGTGCAGTACTGTTTAGGGAAAGTACGTAGTCAACGGTTGTGCAAAGAGGTGATTTGACTGAGATCACGCTCAACCGCCAGGTTTTTCCCACTTTATAGTGGCTGGATGTGTCCCAGGTGGGTCTTCTGATCCCAGGATCACTTCTCGGCTGATGAAAGAGTATAAATAAGTTTTCTGCTATGAGCCCTACCACTAAGCTAACCCAATTCCTAATAATGATATTATTTTTTTAATGGCTGCAAAATAAGGTTTAAAGCCAATAAGATTTTAACAACAGACAATATAATTCTACAGTACGTACCTCTCAGCATTTGTTCTTTGAGGGCTCAGTCTAGGAGATATAGTCGTTCCGTACTGACATTCGATAGTCAAAGCTTGCGGTTCCAAAGTTAAATCATTAGATTTCTTGATCATATTGTTAATACTGTTTTGATCTTTCAATTCCTTTACAACCTCACTTAGTTGAGAGATAATTTTCATGAAATTATTTTGCTCATCTTTTCGTAATTGTGAATCATTATAAATAGCTGAACAAAAAATAAATAACATACGAATGAATAAGTTGTGGCATACATTAGGTATCTTATATTACAAAAAAATTCTACTTGTATCTACAAATTACGCATAAGAATTATACAATATGAAGTGTGTAAAGGAATATCATCAGCATATGAAGAATTATAACTATAGTGATGTATTTATAAAATTTGATACTTTTATACCATATGGTAATAATAATACCATATGATAATTTTATAATAGTTTGTTTATTCAGTTGTTTCAGGTCTTTAAATAACAAAACATTGTTAAATAGATCAGACTATTTATTCAGGGTTAATTGAAATTGTATTGCTTTAAGCAAGGTTTATTTAATTACTATTAACAATTACTGCTTGTTTAACAGTCCCTTTATTACCCACCCTATGAAACCATGGTTTATCATTAAATAATCTGGAACAACTGACAAACTAAATTAATATAAGATTAACCATATGACATTATAATTACCATGTGTTATTAAAATTTCCCCTTATTTTATTGTAAATCATTTATATTTGAAATGAAACTATCTTTTATAACATAATGTTTTTATTTAGTTTTTAATTGTTGAAATAATTAATGCTGCCTTACCTGAAAGAAGCTTTGTATTAAGTAAATGTAAATTTTGTAAATCATTCTTTGGAAGATAATCAAGAGCTTGAATATCGTCTTTTATCGGTTTCTTTCTAGAGTCACCTTTACTCTTAAAAAAATAAAAGAGATTATAATTAATAATACTGATTCTGTTCTTAGCAGTGGTATAAATGACACCAATGAAAACAAGTTTTATTCCAATTTTTAACTATTTCAGAATAAGTAAATAAATTAATTTAAAGGTTAATATTGTGAATGAATGAAAATAATTTTATTATTCTGGGACTAGTGTCCCTTTAGAACAAGTTACAAATGCAGAAAATATATTAATATTCTGGTGTGTCCATAAAATACAATTTAATATTTACAGGATTACAATATTTACAGGAATACAATAAAATTATAGATAATAAAAATATATAAAAATGTGTATAAATATAAACAGAAAAAGTAAATTAAGTAAACAAAATATCAATGAATCACAAAATAATAAGAGTATCTGGATGTACTTTGAGATCTTCACAGCTTAGGTTTTTAAGTGCATTTCATGATCAATCGGATTTGGAATGGGGTAGGTGTTTGAAGAGGAGAGATTTGAAAGAGAATATTGATTTTGCTTGTCGAATATTGTGATGTATTTTAAGAGAACTAGTCTAATTCAAGATGTATCATACAAATAATAGTTACACTATCACTTTATCAAGTTTTATACTGTCCTGAAAATCTTTCATGAATGTTACCTGAGTTTAAAAGGCATTATGGAAGTTTTCGTTCTTCTATGTTGGCAAAGGGTTGTCATTTAGGTTCCAGTTAACAGCAGATATGTGCTTTCAGGTTAAGTTTATTTATAGAAAAAGAACAAATAAAAACAGTCTGGTGAGGGAGTAATTGGGTTAATTTTTATGAGTGTTATCCTAAGTAATTTACCTGAAATGTAAATATTTTGAACATTCGATTAATTTGGTTTCCTAGTGCAAGATATCTATACTCAGCTAGAAAAATATCAAATGGAAAACTGTAGAAAAGGGAGAAACAGGAATAGAGTGGATGAGTGAGTCTTTATTTGCAAAGCCCACTAGTGGATCCAGGATTCAATTTTGGGAGGGCTTCAACCTGAAAGATTTTTTTTTTTTTGCATAAAAATAACGATAATTACTTTGGAAAAACAGAAAGAAACTAATTACCTATATGAAATGGTGTTAAACTGATTCCTGAAGTTCTTTTAAATGTAATTATACGCACAATAATACTTTAAGAGATAATTTTTTCATTTAAGAGACATTTTTTCCACAAAACATGGTGATATTTTACTATTCAGAGGGAGAGGGGGGCTTCAGCCCCAAAGCCCCCGCCCCCCTCCGGTAGATCCGCCCGATGCAAAGGCCATATACTGCAAAGGTAAGGATGGTATAAATAATTTCCAAAAACCGATAACACATACTAAATATACAATATGTATAGTACAACCCACTACCACTACAACCCATGGAAGGTTTTTGGTTTAGCAATTTTCAAGAAAGTACTATTTCTTGGTAAGAACTTGTTTGTGCAAAGGTGATTTTTTAGTTGTTATTTTAGAATTTTTATATTTTAAATGTTTTTAGCTTCTGAGATATTTTAATCCATATTTTCCATAAAATCCATATCAGTTGGTTTTGGTCATTATTTTTCTTTTTCGCCTTCCTAACACGGGACGAGTAAGGAAAAACTCGCGACATCGGCTAAATAAATTATTCTTTTTTTCAATTAAACTATTCAATAATAACAGTGGAAAATATATATTGTGCCAAGTGAAAATATTCTCGGAAACTCTGTGAATAACACAATGTATCAATACAACAGTTTATCTAGTTTTTGGAGATCTAAAAAATAAATTAATAGATTTAGACAGATTCAAATAGATGTCGCGAGTTTTCTCTTACTCCAACCGAACCTAAGTTTTGTGTCTGAGATATTTTAATCCATATGTAAGAACATTTCAATTAGTCGATTCTAGCCGACTTTACTCGAGCGTTAACACTTCGGAAATCTGACGGATCAATCTAATCCACTCTCGCCCCAATAAAGTGCAAAATGCGCCTAAAGAAGTATTCACTTCAGTTTTTATTTTTAGTTTGTTCATTAATAAGGATTATTGCCGATAACATTTACTTGATCCTAGTCTTTTATGATTAAGTTTGCATTATTCATAATGTTTAAAAGTTTCGTTAAGACTATTTGAGAATAACTTGAAATAAGGTTGTTAATATTTAAGTTTATCTTCTATGTTCGGAATCATCAGTTTTTACAACGATAACTCCTTCCATTGTGAACTTTATTTAACATAATAATCCCCCTCCCTCCTCCTTTCCACTCAGGAATTAGACTGGATAAGGAAGGCTGTGGATTTGTTTCCATTTCCTGCTCATTAAATGGAGGATTATCCTGATTGTCGAAGCGTACATTCCTTAATGGTGAGTAAATAATTTATGTTTACAGCGAAGATGGATTGTTTCTTCCGCCTCCTCTTCTGGAGGCTTGTGAACTTCAAATAAATTATTTTGGCTCCTTTTTTTTTATTTTGGGATGAGCAAATTTGTTAAAATATATAAGTGTGTGTATATGGGTATTGGTATTGGTGGAGAGAACTAGTCCGGCAAGTGGGTTTTTAGCCAAACCCTGGCGGCTAACTAAAGATTGTCGTCACTTCTGAAAAATAAATATTAACTGACCCAGGTGGGACTCGAATCTATAACGTTCAGAACCGGCCACTCAGAGATTCTCGCCCCAATGTGCAACAGTAGTTCTGTAGTAACATTTGATATCCATGAACTAGACTTATAACATTTTTTTTTTATTTCTTTATTGAGTATTATAACAAACTGTCTCTTGGACAAAGACTTATAACAATGATAATTTTTTTCCCATTACCGCCTTCATACACAAATATGATGACTTTGGATTTGGAATTTCAGACACGAGGAAGTGGCGCCCTGCTGCAGCACCTCTTCTCTATCATTGTTTAGTTTCTTAATTCATACAAGGAGATCCTTCATCCATCTCATTTTCATTCACCTTCTGAAAAACCGTCAGCCATTTCGTTTATCAGACTGTTGTTATGTCCGTGAAGTTTATTATGGAAGCGAGTATAAAGAGCACGTGTTGCTCGATAGTTCATTGTTTTAAGTGGGTATTTAGAGTAGTGTCAGGGAACCGTTGCTATTGGTTATAAAATTTTGGATTGAAGATATTGTATCTAAGTACTTGGTCATCCTTCAGTTAAAAGCAATTCCTAGGTAACATACTGAGTCCGTCAGAGGCATTTGGTTGAGGCCCATGTATATTTCTGAAAAGATGTCTTGTCAAAATGAGAACGTTGTGAACTGTAATTTTATTCTGTTTTAATTTAATTTTCCAAAGTACCATTTTGGTTTATTATTTTCAATAAGAAACTATTGTAATAAAAAATTTAAATATATATATAAAAAATTTTTGTCCGTCCACCGTCCGCGGCTTTTCTCTGAGACTGCAGGACTGATTTTTTTCAAATTTGGAATCAAAGTCAGAAATCACCCGAGGATGATCCTCCTACCTCGACATTACTATCCGTCCTTTCCTTCCAAAATGGCGGCCGAAAAACGTGTGTTGGTATAGACTGTTGCGCCTAAACGAAAGTACAAATTCCATTGAAATTTGGGTGGACTTTTCCTCGATGATCTTTAAATGCATTTATACAACGTATTTAAACGAAAAGAAGGTGAAAAAAAAGTTACTAGTGGTGGTAAAATTAGATTTCCGAATAACTCAAGAAGTATACGTTTTTGTTGATTTTGTTATGGTTATTTAAAAGTTTACGAATTTTACTAAAAAACAAAAAAAAAAAAAAAATAATCGTGGAAATCGGACAATTTGGAGCAAAGATATAGTATTTTAACTATGCTTCATATCTTCTTCTGCAAAACTTATATCTTTTGTTTTTGATTTTTTCAAAGTTTTATAGCAATGTTGTCTATTTTTTTAAAGCTAATTATCAATAATAAAAAAGAAAATCATGTAGGCCAATATTAGGAATCCCTTTTTATTAATTTTTCTTAATGTTGTATGGAAAGTAATGTTAATTTTGATGTTGAATTGTTTGGAAATAATAAACCATTGCGTAATAATTTTTATAGTTTTGAAAATTAATATGAACTTGTATTGTATGAACTTAATATGAAGTGTCACTCCACTTTGATGGGTGGCGTACCATAAATAGAATTCCGAGAATGGCCGAGTGGCTGCGAAAGTAGACGGAAGTGACCGAATCATCTGGTAAATTCCCGACTTCAACTGAAATCTGTTAGTGAGTTAGAGAGCGAGCAGAAGTCGGAAGCAGTGATGTATTTAAAGCTAATTAAAGTCCCGAAAATTTGTCGAGTCGTGAGTTTGCCGAAATCGTTAATAATGGGAGGTTATATTGTGAAAAGGTTAATCTTCGGCTATTTTCGAAATTTCATTTTAACTTGATCATGGAATCTTGGCCCACTTATCTGAGTGGAGTAACACTTGTACAGTGTTATCATAATAATTAAAGCTTTTAATCTGTTACTGTTTCTTTTCCACAGCTGTATAATATATATATACAAGTTCCAAGGTCAATAAAACTACCAGGTTCGCTCACTCAGCAATGCGTGGTGGGGGAACTTGAAACGTGACGTAAGGAATAGACTGTCAGACCTACCTATTACTCTTTCAAGCCTATCAATGAAGGCTTATTTCAACATTATTGTGCTTTTTTTTTTGTTTTCTTGTTTAATTTATTAAGAAGAATACTTATCTGTGTTTTTGACGTTTGATTGAAGATAATTTCAAGTAGATAAATAAAGAAATACGGCTATCAATCTAGAATAAAATGCTATGAAAATTACAGGCCAGACCTAAAACGAAAAGAACGAAATTGATATTAAGATTATTTTTAAATTCTTTATTTCAAAATATCTGTAAATAATATACAAATATATAACATCAATAGAAAAAACTAAGATTTATATTTGTTTAGAGAACATTTTAGCACAATGTTTTGTGTAATTTTGTTTGTAGATCTCGTGGGTATTTCTTTTAATATTATAACGATATTATAATAATATTATAAGAGTGAAAATCTTTGTCAGGATTTGAAGTCAAAATTTCTTTAAATAAACAAATTTAATTAAAAAAATAAACAAATTTTAATGCGAATTCTGATAATTTATTTTCAGCTTATAATCGTAACAGTCAACTACTTATCCGTCTCTATAAAACAATATTATAACGAGCATTCATTTTTTATTTTTATAACATGTTACAGAGAATTCGTTTGTTCTTACTAGTATTTCTTGTATTTCTCATAATAACATAAATATTAATAGAATCCTATAGAATACCAGGTCAGGTACAAGATGCGCAGTTACATCTTGCAACAAAAATCTAATTGATGCAAAGAAGATGGGAAAGAAAATTTCATTTCATACATTTCCAAAGGATGCTCGAAGATAAGACTGGATTTTAAAATATAAATGTAAAAATATTGTTAAAAAAAAACAAATATTGTAAAAAAAATTGACTAATCTTTTTCTTAGGAAACAAAATGTAGAAATTAATGAAGAACTAGTAAAGGCTTTCTTTCAGCAACGGATATTTATTACAATCAAATTTTTAAATACCCAAAGACTTTTACAACAATTAAGAAAATATAAAATCAATGGCAAAAACTTGAGAAAAATCACTACAGAGTCACGGAAAGAAAGCGCTTCTTTAATTTTAGATCAAATACTTTTCCTTTTTTAAAAAATATTTCTATTATTTTCTATCATGCTCTGTATTTATTTGAAATATTTACAAAATATTATTGTGGTAGTTTTAGAAAATCATACATCAACTTGTTAAATTACATTTTATTTGCTTCAGAATAAACCAAATATCAAATCAACCTTTCTCTCACTTTAAATTATATTAAATTTATATAAATTAATAAATTATTTGGCAATAATGTATTGATTTAAAGTAGAAAAGTAAATAATAATCTTAAAATGTCCAGAAACAAAGGCCGGAGGGGTAAAATCAGTCTATTGGCTACGTCAGAGCTCGATTCATCCCCACCATTTTCTCTCTGAGTGAGCGAACCTGGTGTTTTATTGACCTTGTACAAGTTCGATTAAGGTTACTTGATGTAGCCTAAATTTCGAATGTAAGTCGGCTCCTGCTATATAACTGAACATTGTTAAGGTTATAGAAGTACTTAAATGGCGGGAAAGTTAATTGTAACTGACTCAAGAGATCGATCACCTTCGTTCTCTTTCAGATGAACCCGAATGCATTCGGCACTCCATGAACAAGTGTGATCGAGTGATTGTGAACCACGCGGAACTCAAGTGAACTAGTACCCTTTAAATAGTTTGAAACATATCGTGTTTATATTGTGAATTAATATGTTTTAAGAGTTAATAAAAATTAATGGTCTTACAGTTAATAGTTCTATAAAAGAAAAAAAAAAAACTTAGTAGTTCTGCTGCACAAAACGATTCGCATGAATCTGTTTTAATAAGATTTTACTAGTATTAAAACACAAATGGACCAATTTTTTAAACATTTAAAATCAGAAATTTACTTAATTGAAGTATGCAAATTGTTTATTTACTTAATTTTACTACGATATGAATCTAATGATAGGTTACCGTATTCCGAAGACAATGATTCCAGATAACCATCCTAGTTTTTTTAAAAGAATATGATCCATTGGCCTGTCGGTAAACATCGGGCGAATGATCTACGGCTTTATAACGTATTTTCATGTTGCTTTTCACACTATTTACAATAAATAATTTTGATATTGGTCTGTCGAAGTTGTGAAACTAAAGGTTATCTTGATTTGTTACGTTACTAGGTTAATTCTATTTTTCCTTAGTTACTGTCATAACAGTCACAACTAACGGCGTAAAAAAAAAAAAAAAAAAAAAAAATCAAAAGTCAAATCAAGGGTATTTTAAATATATGAAATTCAACGATACCATCGTCATAAAAACATAGATACATTTCTTTGTGCTCCCTTTCGCTACTCCGAGATATAGTGGTGGATCCAAAAATTTTCTGAGGAGGGGAGACTTGAAAAATAGGTGAATTCCACTCACCATCCCCATATATATTATTACAGTAAGGCTCGAAATCGGTTTTGTACCAAATATAAGCTCTCCAAATACCATGAATGGGATCAGAATACCATGAATCAGAATTTGACGGGAGGTTAGCGAATCGTATTCTCCACTTTTGTTTTTCTTTCTAAAATAAATAAAGTCGATACAAACATTTTGCAAGGCTTCAATATTGTAACGGTGGTAGGTCTGTAGATCGGTACGGGATAAACTGGAGCTTGAAGATTTTGATGCGTACAGCGTCCTCCTCCGGAACTATCAGATCCTGCGTTTTTAATCACCAAAACGTACTATTTTCGAGATAACGCAAGGCAAAGGGTTCGCATCCACACAATCTTACATTAATTCTAGTACTGTCATTGAATACATGTCTCATTTCGCCGAATTGAGGTCTCTATGATCGAGAGGGGAAGAGTTTATATTAATTATCGATGGTTTTTTTGATCGGCAAGCCATATCATCGTTAATTTTTCACCAAATCTCAAGATTGAGTCACCAATTTCGAAGGCTTCCTTCTCCTTCAGGCGGACAAAATAGTCCAATCACACCGAAAATTCAGGCAACAAGTTATTTGCGAATAACCCACGATTATATAAAAGATTACTAAATTCCCTAAAAAGTGAAAAAAAAATCATTGAAATCGGACAATATTTAGCAAAGATACAGCTTACTGAAATTTGTATACATGTTTGTTCCGAACAGAAATGAAGATTTAAATTAATTTTTGTTTTCTTTGTGGATTATATTTATCGATAAGGGAACATTTGATTTCTTTATCTTTTTGTATATATGTTGCATTATTTTACTTTCTTATTAATTTGGCTTTTGATAACAATATGCTTTGCGAATTTTTCGCACGGCCTTCTAGTATATATAAAACCCGCGCGGTCAAAATTCATTACTGGATAATTGACATACAGTCTAAGTAGATGGAGGATTTTCAAAGGATTTTGAAACGTACAAGGGTCTTAAGCAGGATGACAGCATGGCCTGTTTATTGTTTAATATGGTACTGGAATGTGTTGTTGGGAGCTAAAGTGTACAGATTGGGGCCACGTTATTTAACTAATCGGATCGAATCCTTAGCTTCGCGCATGACTAGGACATAATGGGAAGAAGCTTGGCATCTAAGAAGATGGAAGTAAGAGGCATTTCTCGCTATACAGGAAGCGGCGCAAAGAGTTGGACTAACAATAAATGAGTCAAAAACCAAATAAATGGGAACAGGTTCTCAAGCATTCGATCAGCAGGACTCCAACTTGAAAACAGGAGACTGCGATTCGGAGTTTGTGAACGAATATTTTATTTGGGCTCTCAGGTAAACTCCGACAATAATATGCAGCAAGAAATTAATAGACGTTTAATGGCTGCAAACAGATGCTATTTCGGGCTTCCGAAACAATTCAAAAGTAGATGTCTCTCGAGGATCACCAAGATTTATAAGACCCTCTAAGGCCTGATCTGATTTATGCTTCCGAATGTCGGATGATCTCTCGAGCTCAAGAACTAATGCTCCTAAGCTTCGAGAGACGGATCCTCCGAAGAATCCTTGGTCTAGTGTTCAGCGATAGCGTTTGGTGACAAAGAACTAATTCTGAAATAATAAGAAAATATGACTAAGTACAAAATAGTTTTAACTATGTGAATAACCTTTTAAAAAAAATATGAATTAGGTTAATTCGTAAGCTTTCGATATCATGTGGATTTTTTTTAATCACGTAAAATAACTGATTACTATTAAAAAAAATCTGGTGCGGTGCGTTCATCACACTTACCTCACTCTTCTTAGCAGAAATAAGTATTTTTAGACAAAGGGGAACTGAAAGTAATAATTACATACACTATATTGATTTACAATTCATTGTGAATATTTTTATTTTTATAAGTATCCTTATTTACATACAAATTTTATACAACATCCGATAAACATAAAAAACAAATTCCGATACAAATTTTAATATTTATATCACCGTAATCTATACAATTAAATATTTAATAATACCATCAATAGCTCCTATGAAAACTGCATATGTATATTTAAGTAATATTGTCGGAGTCCTTATTATATTAAGCTCATATTAAACGTGTTCTGATCTTTCGGGCTAGCTTGGGTGCGCTCGTATTCCTTTGGTTCCTCAATTACAACTATTCTACATTACGATCTCTTATTTCTTCCTAAGTTAATTATCAAATTCTTTCATATTTTATATTTAACTATCTTTTATATTAGAGATTAATGTCAAATAGTCTATTAATTCATATAAAAAAAATTAAAGGTACTTTAGGGTAAGCTAATATTCAAAATTAGCCATTTAAGCACTGTAAGAAAACGCCAATAAGCAAAAAAAATGTTTTATTTAAAACTGCTTAACTACACAATAATATGATGAATTAGTTTAAACAAAATCGTTAGAATCATTTTCGAGAAAATCGCAAAAATGCGTTTAGTCCATTATATAAAGTCCCACATCCGGTTAGCTGATTTTGACGAAAAAGTTGCTGTAACATCCTTAGCATATAAAAACCTTAAATATGCAATTTCACTTGCATACGACTTTTCATTTTTGAGCTAGACTGTTAAAACTCTCAGAACATTTTGCGGGACTTGGTTATTTGGACTCGGGGAACCTCAAAACTAGTATTTCCGTTGAAATCTGAAATTCGAAAATTTTCACGATAGCAATACTTCCCCCTTTATTATATATTTCATATATACGTAAGTGAAATTAAAGAAAATTGGCGGGGCTAATCTACAAAAGATCTAAAATTTCTCTCTCTCTCACTCTCTCTCTCTCTCTCTCTCTCTCTCTATATATATATATATATATATATATATATATATATATAGAGAGATATATATATATATCTCTATATATATATATATATATAGATATATATATATATCTCTATATATATATATATAGAGATATATATATACATAACCCGTAATAATAAGAACAGTTTATTTTCTCAAAAAGCGATAAAATGATGAAAATTTCCTGTCTAATAACAGACAAGCCATCATGGCCAGGAATATCCTCGGTGTAATTATATAAGTCGGACGCGGAGAAGGTGGGGGGTATGTTTCTGATGTCTTACACCTTCATTCCTGTCTGAGGAAACTTTTAAAAACTGAAGAGAACCTTTCTCGTCCAAGTCCGAGCTAAACTTCCCCGGCAAGTTGTTGCTCCTCTTTCCTCCCGTGCCCTAACTTATAATTTAATTAGGTATATTATTATGAGGGTGTTGTTGACGTCAACTTTTTCGACTTCACTCCCAGCGATGAAGAAGTAAAAGCATCTCTTCAAGGCCCGGAGGACTTTTCGGCACATCGCTTTTCTCCCCTGCTTCGTTATTACACCCAATGGAAGGAAGGGAGAGGGGCTGCTATTAGGAATAAAACAATAATCCTTATTTATTCATGGACATTCGTAGTTATCTCATATTTAGGTTTTAGAGATTAAAATATTGTCAATTATGATATTGTTCGACGAACTGAATTTCTATTGAAAAGTTTACTGGAGGAGAAAATAACTATGACCTCTTGGACAAATCTGATAATATAAAACTTTTTTATAAATAAAAAATATCCAGTTAGGGTAAGCACACCAGCGATGGGCATAGCTAAGGAAATTTTTATCTTTTTTGGCTTATGCCACCGTAATTATTATAGTTATAAACTTCTCCGTTTTGTGTTTAGAATCTCTTAGGTCTCCATTTTCTATTTAACAATTTTTTTTTTTTTAAACTTATTTATTGAAAAATATTACAATCTGTCTCTAGGACATTTATAATAGAGTTCACAGATCACATTCACACACTATGTACAATAAATTAAATAAATTATACAGAATAATAATATATATACAATAAATAAGAATAAAATAACCTAAAAATAAATAAATAAAAATAACACATAAACACCTATTTAACAATTTAAAAATGAAAAAATATTGAGTCATGCAAGTATAATATCCATTAATAAAAAAGACACCTTTTTGCACTAATGATGGACACTCCAAAATTTAATTGTGTTTTGATGTTATTTTCTTCTTATAATTAATTAATAGAAATATCAATTATTTTAATTTCCTAGTAAAATTAATTTTCTAGTGTCTTTTCATCTTCGTCATCCTCAGCTTTTTCACAGAAATTTCCATTCAACCTTTATGCAACATTTAATATTATGCAACGTTAACATTATGCATTCCATATACCCATAGATCGGTTCCAGCAAAATGCTAATTTATTTGCATCTTACATATATTTCTTTGACAGTTCGTGGTCTTGGTTTTTGAAGGTTCTAACCAACAAAGTTAGCCAAACTAAGTGATTGACTGAATTACTGAATATCTTATGTAGGTTTTTATGAGGTTTTTCCTACTATAAAAAATGGATTTCAATTTTCTAATTAGCATTCAAACCACTAGTATGTCATGTGTAAGGTTACTGCAACCACAAACATGTAATTTATCATTATGACATGATGTATTTTTTTTTTATTTCTTAATGACATTTACAACTGTATTACATAAATACATCTAGTAAATTCGGACATAATAGATATAATGACATGAATACACTTGTTGAGTAACTACCCAATGGTAGCTCTCTAATGATATGACTACATTAGGAGATCACGGGGCCATCTTCTTTTCAGACGCCTCGGAGGGTTATCAGGAATTGAAGAGGAAGCAAGGTTAGAAACGAGAGAGTTGGGATGATTCTGAAGTTTATTATGGAAGGATAGGTATCTGGATTGGACCAGATCTGAAACATAAGGAA